CTTAGTGAAAGGCCCATGTTATAAGTCGCCGCCGAGGAACCGGAAGCAATGAATAGATGTCCTTCCTCACCGCCAATGCCCTGGGCTCGCTCGTCGAATCGGCCGTTTCGACTCGGTCTCTTCCCCTAGGCCAAGCAGTCCACGCTCAGATCATCAAAACCCTCGAATCGCCTCTGGGAGGGAAGTAGAGGTTGGTGGAGTAGTTGAACATGAGGTTTGAGCCGGCGGAGTTAAGGCGGGTGGCGGAGGAGAGCGAGCGCGGGCGGGCAAAAGCGAGGCAGCAGTGGACCTGACGGGAGTAAAGGCCGCGGCAGGTTTTACCGGTAAAGCGGCGGCCAGAAAGGGAGAAGACATTGTACGCGGCGCTGCCGTAACAGCCTAACGACTTCACATTCCCTTGCCTGTTCAAAGCGTCGGCTTTTCTCAATTCGAGCTCCGTCGGCCAGCAGCTTCACGCACTGGCGATTAAGACTAGCTTGATTTTGGACGTCTTTGTTGGATGCAGTGCTCTTGATATGTACAGCAAAACGGGGACTAGGGATCTTGCAGACAAGGTGTTTGAGGAAATGCCGGAGAGAAATATTGCAACTTGGAACGCGTGTATTTCTAATGCTGTACTTGAGGGAAGGGTTATAGATGCTGTTAGGAAGTTTATTGAGCTTTTACTGGTGGGTGATGAACATCCAAACTCCATTACGTTTTGTGCATTTTTGAATGCTTGTGCCGATGGCTTGTATTTAAGGCTTGGTATGCAGTTGCATGGAAATGTGATTCGACGCGGTTATGGTGTGGATGTTTCCGTTCTAAATGGATTGATTGATTTTTATGGCAAGTGTCATGATGTGAAGTCATCCGAGCTAGTTTTTCACGGTATGCATGAACGGAATGGTGTTTCTTGGTGCTCACTGCTAGCAGTGTATGAGCAGAATGATCTATGGGAAAAAGCTCTTAAGTTTTTCTTGAAAGCCAGAGACGAGAGGGTTGAGCCAAATGAGTTCTTGCTTTCAAGCGTGCTTAGTGCTTGTTCTGGGCTTGCGGCATTTGAGTTAGGAAGATCAATCCATGGCCTAGTTGTGAAGTCATGTATCGAGGGGAATGTGTTTGTTGGGAGTGTTCTTGTAGACATGTATGGAAAATGTGGCTGCTTAGAAGACTGTGAGAGAGCATTCTATGAAATGCCCGAGAAGAACTTGGTAACCTGGAATGCTTTGATTGGCAGTTATGCACATCAAGGGCATGCTGATATGGCACTGGATTTGTTCAAGTATATGACTAAAAAAGGCAGCAGTGAGGTGGTGCCTAATTATGTTACACTTGTTTGCATTCTCACTGCCTGTAGCAGGGCCGGAGCAGTAGAAAAAGGTATGAATATTTTCGAGTCAATGAAGAGGAAATATGGTATTGAGCCAGGGGCAGAGCACTATGCGTGTGTAGTGGACATGCTTGGGCGGGCAGGGATGGTGGACCGGGCATATAAGGTCATCTTAGAAATGCCAATGCAGCCCACAGTTTCTGTTTGGGGGGCACTTTTAGGGGCGTGTAGAGTGCATGGAATATCTGAACTGGGAAAGGTTGCAGCTGAGAATTTGTTTCGTATTGACCCCCTTGATTCTGGCAACCGTGTGATCCTCTCAAATATGTTTGCATCTTCTGGCAGGTAGCTCTATATTTTCTTTCTTTATTTGTTTCAACAGTTTTTATGTCTAAAATGTGTTAGAGTATTACTTTTGGAAATTGGTATCATTTGCTTTGCTTATGGTCTCATGGAGTATCTTAATTTGTGCAAGCATTGTGTAGTTTATACATTTGGAAAATGGTATCCAACTATCCATTGGTTAAAAAGGTTTTCATAATTGCCATCCGTATAACTTACAAGCTTAAGAAGCTATGACTTATTGTTGTTTCTGAATTTTTTTGGATGTCTTCTACTCACTTCTACCTCGCTACCACAACTTCAAGTACATGTGTTAGCTATTAGTGAGTATGCCCATTACTCTCTTCATCCCAAAAATAAGATTGTGTTTGATCAGTCACACCTATTAGAAAAGCGAAATAGATTTATTTAGAAAGAGAAATAATATGGACATCTTTCTTTCCTTAAAATTAAACAGGAACCATGATTTGAAATGGACAAAAAAAGGATAAAATGAATTTCCTTTTAACCTCAACATACCATTATCCATGCAAATATAATACGTAATACTATTCAATGGGCCATGAAATAACAACAATGAACAACCTGGTATAATCTCAACTTCTTTAATTACCATGCAAAAACAGTGAGACCCTTACTGCTTATTTAGTTTTGTGTTGACAGCTTGTATTTTCACCTTTTTCTCCATTCAAATGTTGTTCGGTTTTCTTCGACCTCTCAATAGAAGATTAACTTATTAGCAAGTTATATTCATTCATTATTATTTCTTCACTTTCTGTAATGTATCTGTAAATATCTTTCAATGTTCAATTGTATGTGTACCAGGGACCATACTTGATTTTTTTTCTTAACATTTCTGGTTGTTCTCAGTGAGCTATCCAAATTTGCCGCTTCTATGTCTCTATGGTAGTTCAATGTTAAAATTCTATGCATACTTGTGTTATTCAGAGTATATTATTATTATTACTATTATTGTTATTGAACAATATCTTACAGAGCATTAAATACATGTAGGTGGGAAGAGGCTAATATTGTGCGGATGGAGATGAAGGACATAGGGATAAAAAAGGGTGCAGGTTGCAGCTGGATAAATGTTAAAAACTGTGTGCATGTTTTCCGAGCAAAGGACACATCTCATGCAAAATACCCTGAAATTCTTGCAATGTTGGGCAAGCTAAAGAGAGATATGAAAGCAGCAGGTTATATCCCAGAGACTAATTTGGCTCTCTATGATCTAGAAGAGGAAGAGAAGGAATATGAAGTTTCGTATCACAGTGAGAAGCTTGCCCTTGCGTTTGGTCTCATTGCTATTCCTCCTGGAGTCCCCATACGAATAACTAAAAATCTCAGGGTTTGTGTTGATTGCCATAGTGCTATAAAGTTCATTTCAGGCATTGTAGGAAGAGAAATTATTGTGAGAGACAATAACAGATTTCATCACTTCAAGGACGGTGTCTGTTCGTGCAAAGACTACTGGTGATGCTGACCAATGGGAAAGAATGCTAGTTACGTTTGAATGATGTTTCAATGAAGACTAGACCCCTGTAAGTTATCAAGAACAGAAAAGAAGAAACGTAAACCCACTTGCATAATGTTTCAGGCTGTACAACACTCCATGGAGATGATTGATTGAGCCAAGATTGCACAAAGCAAATCAGACTTTGCCATTGAGTCCGGAACAAATAAAGCCGAGTGTAATGGCATGGCTTTCGGGGGATGCGCTG